GCAACTCGCTCGAACTCCCAGCCGGTCCCGAGGGTGCTTTTCTGAGCGTTTCCCAAGACGCGTGCCCGGAAGCTCTCCAGAAGGGCCTTCGGAAGCTCTCTCCAGGTCCTTCCGGAGTGCTTCGCCAGGCCTTTCCACGCCCTCCGGGCGCCCTGCTACCCGGGTTTGGGACTGCACAAGTCTGCCGTCAAAATTCGCTTGTGGCACTGGCACCCGGGCCTTTCGACTGTCCTCGGTCGCATACGTTAGGAGCTCGGCCAAAAGAAACCTTCCACAAGAAGCCCAACCCTGAGACCCCAGGACGTCCACTGGTTTTTGATGTGGGAACGTCACGCTTTCCAAAGCAAAACCATCGAAACCCAAGAATCCCAGAGCACCTTGGGGGCAAGCAGGATGTTTCTTGGCATGTGTGCCCACCGTTTGGCGGTGGACAAACCTCCCTTTAGCAGACCTCCCCTCAGTGAAAGCGGCCCGGGACCGAAACCGACGGACCTGGACCCGCAAAACTGACGGCCGCGACGCCCTCTCGCGAACCGAACACGGCCAACTCCTTACTCGACGTGGCAGGGTAGGAGGTCTGTCCACCTCCGAACTGTACACGCAAGAGTGGCCCCACCCCTCGGGTGCAGCATCGGGGGGCCGCGGTGCGGCACAAGCCAGAGCGCACGAGAGCCAGTGCCGTGGGGGGACCCCATCCAGGCCCGCATTGGAGGCGCGCGTCCGACCCGAACGTATAGTAGACCCGTCTTGTAGTGTGTCGTTTCCCGAGCGGCGTGGCCAGAAGGCGCCCGCCACGACACAAATTCTGTAAGATTTCTCGGTGCGCGCGTCGCCCCTGGAGGGGCGACGCACATATAGTATGAGCATGTTGGGGTGACGCCGTGTCCACTCCTACGCGCAGCCGACTCGTACGAGGCAAGGTTTTACAGTCCGGGGTCCCGAAGCGTGCGCCCGGAGGCCTGCGAAGAGGCCAGCCCTCTCGGTGTGCTCCGTGATGCTTGATGTCTGGGTCCGAACTCGGCCTCCACGTCGGTCGGAAGGAGGAGGAGGAGGAGGTAAAAACGTGAAGCAGGAAGGCGGAGAATAAAGCAGATTGGGTTCAGGTCCTCCTGGGAGAACAAAGACTGGACACGTCAAGGCCATGCCGATTCTTGAGGTCGGAAAGCGCTAGAAGTAGAGTGGGATCTGGGAATCCACAAAAACCGACGGGGGGGCATTGGACAAGGAACGCTTCGATAAGGAGTCCAGCGTCTGGAAGCAAGTGGAACTCCAATCGTGCACTGGCCATGGATATCACCGCCACCCTCATTGGATAAGGAATCCTCCAGGGTCTGAAGCCCACTGGGCACATCTCTTAACCAACGCTCCCACCGTACTTTCAACGACCGACGGGCCCCGATGCCACATTTTTTTTTGATCCGCGGGTCGAGAGCGAGCCTCTTCTGGTCGAAGCTGAGCGGGCCGCGCACAGCTTTAATGAACAGAGGAAGGAAAGCAGAAGGAGAGGCCTCACACCAAGGCCAAGAGAGGGCAAAACCCCTGGGATCAGGCGGTGCCGAAAGCGAAGTGCATGCGAAGGAACGCCTTGAACAGGAACCCGGAGGCGAAGTACCGTCGGGGCCCTGAAGAGGAACCCTTTTGGTTGGGGAGGGGCTCCGCGTTCCTTAAGTGTTTCGCAGCTTGCCTCAGGCTTTCCTTAAGTTTTCGAAGGGAAATCGAAGTTCAACTTCTGGAGAAAAGGGGCTTCGTTCCTTAGGTCAACGCCCCGACTGCATTCTCCCAGGAGGACCTGAACCCAATCTGTGTTCTTCTCCGCCTTCCTGCTCCACGTTCTTACCCGCTCCTTCCGACCGACGTGGAGGCCGGGAGGCAAAAAGCTGGTGGTGGTGCCCTCAGCGGCGCACCCCGGTGCCACGCACGGGAGCGTGGCCGCCGTCGCGGGCCAGCGTGCGGGGACCCCACGGGGGGCCGCCGAGAGACGGCACGGCGCGCGCCGCGGCGGCACGCAAGGGGGGCAGAGGCGCGCGCGGCGCGGGCGCGCTCGGCCCCATTGCGGGGCACTGGCTGCTCCTCGTCCTCGTCCTCGTCCTCGTCCTCGTCCTCGTCCTCGTCCTCGTCCTCCTCCTCCTCCTCCTCCTCCATGTCCCTCCTCCTCCTCCTCCTCCTCCTCCTCCTCCTCCTCCTCCTCCTCCTATTATTAGTCTATTATTGTTGTTATGATGTATTTTTCTTATTAGTATTATTGGTAAGTTTCCTCTTGTGCTTACTATTCGTATAGATCCGCAGCATTAGTATTATTATTGTGATACTCATTCATGTGTTTATTAATCGTCGTAGTGTTATTATTCTGAATGTTACTATTCGTATTCTTATTAATAGCATTATTATATCCTTGGTACTAGTATTCTTACTATTCGTACTAGTCGTAATAATTTCAATCCGATTATTAGTCGTAGTGCTATTATTACCTGCATTACGATTAGTATTCGCATTCGTGGTATTGTTCTTAAAAATAGTAGTATTAGTCTGCGCCTTGTTAGAAGTATTGTTGTTCGTCGTGTTACTATTCTTCGTATTCGTCTGAATAGTATTCATATTCGTGTGATTCGTCTACTTCGAAGCCTTCTTCGTCCTCCTCCTCATTCTCGTCCTCCCCCTGCTCGTCCTGATGCTCCTCCTCCTCCCCCTCCAACTTCTCCTTCTCCTCCTCCTCCTCCTCCTCCTCCTCCTCGTCCTCCTCCTCCTCCTCCTCCTCATCCTCCTCTCCTCCTCCTCCCTCCATCCTCCTCCTCCTCCTCCTCCTCCTCCTCCTCCTCCTCCTTCCTCCTCCTCCTCCTCCTCCTCATCATCATCATCATCATCATCATCATCATCCCCTCCTCCTCCTCCTCCTCCTCCTCCTCCTCCTCCTCCCTCCTCCTCCTCCATATCCTATCCTCCATATCCTCCATATCCTCCATCATCCTCCTCCTCCTCCTCCTCCTCCTCCTCCTCCTCCTCCTCCTCCTCCTCCTCCTCCTCCTCCCCTTTCTCCTCCTCCTCCTCCTCCTCCTCCTCCTCCTCCTCCTCCTCCTCCTCCTCCGCCTCCTCCGCCTCCTCCTCCTTTTCCTCATCATGAAGCGGTTTTGGCGGATGCGGGGCCAGGAAACGTGGCGGCGCGCAAAGGGGAGGGGGGAGGCTTCTTGGAAGGAGACTGTTTCTTAGAAGGCGTGGGCCTTCTATCTATAGGTAAGGCCCGCGCCTGGTGAGAAGCAGGGGTGCTTCTAAAAAGGCGCTCCCCCCTTACCGCCCTCTGCGCGCGGCCGAGCAACATCAGCGCAACGCTGACGGCCCCACAGATGTAGACCCACGAGAGAAGGGCTTCCAAATGTAGACCCACGCAAGGGGAGGTCAAATCCAGACCCCGACGAGACGGACCCTGAAATGTCGACCCTCGCGAGACCTAAGCACCCTGAAATGTAGACTCCGACCTGAAGGACCTTGGAGTGCAGACCGCACGCGAAGGGCGGGGTCTACCTCTGGGGATTCGTCGGGCAGGTCTACATTTCAAGGGTCGTTTGTTACTGTCTTGAAAAAACCACGAGATGCCAACAATGTCGACTAACCCCTGGCGCAATGCTATCGCTAATTGCGAAAGAAAGGTCTGGGGCACCAGCTAGCGCACGCCGTGATAGCCAATCCCCAAGCGCCGCCCCGGCCAGAGAAGAGGGAGGCTGCCTGGTCGCCGACAGCTTGGAGAGGCGCGGAGGACGGGGGAAGCGCGAAGAGAAGGGGGGTTGGGTTGCGTTCGGGTGCAACTCCTGGGAAATCAGATTCTGAGTTTGTCTTCGTCCGAGATCCCGCCTGTTCCCACTCAATCCCGCTAAATCCCGCTTAGTCCAGCGCAATCCCGCTTAAGCCGCGGCCTAATCCTGCGTAGTGGCCCCACCAATGGGACTGAATCCTCCCAATTCTTTGCGACGAAGACTTCCCAGTAGTTGCCTCCGAAGTTGCAGGTTGCCCGAGAGGCAACGAGAGTTGGAGGCGATCCGGAGGCCTGAACTCGGTTGGGACCCCTGAATCGGAGAGACGTAAGACTCGGGTACGGGGGACTCGGGTTGGCCTGTCGGGGCCATCATAAAAATGACGAGACCCAATCTGAAATTTGACGCGAGCTCCCGCTGCAAACATCCCACGAAAGTTGGACCGTAAAATCCAGGACGCGCTCGTCAGAAAATGTCAGCTAACCCGAGTTCTGGCTTACTCCAGTCTTACGTTTCCCCGACAGAAGATCGGCCAGGAGGGGGGATGGGGCCAAATCCACACAAAATCGTTCCCTGGACCCCCCGGGGGTCCATCTGCTGCAGCTGTTGTTCACCCGGATCCGCTTTCTCGACGGTCCCAGGGTCCGAAAAAGCGGCCCCCGGAGGCCGAAAGAGCCACAGCGAAACAGAACAGGACAAAGAAAAAACATAGCCTCGAGCCCAGCACCTCGAACCTTTTTTTCCTCTCGGCGCAGAGCGGGGTCCCGCTGGCGGTATCGTATCTTTGTGTCCACACCGCCTGCCCAAGCAAGCGCCCTCGCTCTGCGTTTGGCAATGCGCCGGTCTCACAGAATCTTCTCAAACTGTTTAGACCATCTTCGAATGCAATGGCTTCGGCTGTGAAGGGAGATCTGGCGGTCGATAAATACACCCCTCTAGATGCAAGACTGCAAGAATGTGTACTTCCTCGAGCCTCGTCCCCCGCCATTCCTGCTCGCCGGAACCACTGCTGGGCCACCTCAGAACCCCCGCTGGCTCCAAGCTGCAGGCTTGTCTTAGGTCGGGCCTGTCCCCCTACAGGGGGATTTTGGACGAAACATAAAAAATACCCAAGAAAAATGCTCAAAAGATGCCCAAAAATACTCCATACGATTTTTTGCCTATTTCTGGATATTCCTTCTGTAGAGGGACAGGCCCGACTCAAGGCTGGTCCGAAAGACGTCGAGCACCCCGACCGGGCCCTCCGCCCCGCGGGGCCGGCAGCAGCCGCGGCTCGAACTCCAGCAGCAGCCGCAGGACGTCGGTGCGCCCGTGGAGCGCCGCCAGCTGCAGCGGCGTGTGGCCTGCGCCCCCCCCGTCGGCGGCCACTCCGGGGAGCCTCCCAGAGCATCTTGATGGCTCTCGCCAGTCGGCGCCAGCCGACAACCCTTCGGCGCGGAGCGCCTCTCTTCCTCGAGGCCACGTCGGCGCCACGTCGACGCGCCGGAGCGGCGCTTCTCTTTCCCATCGACCCCCAGGCGCTAGAGCGCACGCGGGTGCAGTCTCAAGACGGAAGGATACGGACACACAAGGTTCCCATGATTTGCTACCGACCCCCCCCCCCCCCCGGGATGGGGGAGGCGGTGCGTCTGGCAGCGGCGCGGGCCCTGCTCTGCGGGTGGGGGGTGGGGGGGGGCCACGTGGGCAGCACCACGAGCCTGGAAGCTTTCTGGCCAGCGGCAGCCTGGGTCCAAGAAGCGGTCGAGGCAGCCGAGGGACGCCTCGAAGCCGAATTGGGCGCAAGAGAGAGGAAGAAGGGGAGCGGGTGGGGGGGGCAGGAAGCCGCGGGTCGCGGAGCACGCTCAGAGCTTGAAGCTCTTGTACGTGTGTGTGCCAGAGCGCAGGCTTCCACGGGCAGCGAACCGAGAGTGGCAGGGCAAGAACTGCGGCCGTGCCAGGTACCCGGGCGCGGCAAATCCACGAGATGGCGAGCCTGGAGGCACGCACGGCCGGATCCGCGTGCGCATCCGTTGTTCTATCTCTTCCCCAGAGACAGCAAGTGCGCCGATGATGACAATTGCCAGCTTCCCCGCTGAGGAGCAAGCGCTCCACCATGCCAAGCAGCAGCCGCAGAAGAGGAGGAAGCGAAAGCCAGGAAGCCGAGGAGCGAGAGATGGGCAGCGTGGTCGCCGGAGAAGCGGCTGCGGGATCCACGCGCGGAATTGCGCGGAGGCGAGGGCAACGAAGGGCGCATGCGGGAGGGTCGGCGCGCCCGGCCACGCGAGGGTCGAGCGGCGGGTGCGGGCATGCCGTCATGCGCGCAGTTCGGCCTGCCTGTCGCCGAAGCTGGCCGCGTCAGATGTGCTCGGCTCCCGGGTGTGTGTGGGGGGGGGAGGGGGCGACGGACCCAGCACGCCGCTCGGGAGAAAGAGCGGGAGAAGGAGGGAGAGAGGACGACGAGCAGGAGAAGCGGAAAGATCGAGGGGGATGATGATGATGAGGAGGAGGAGGAGGAGGAAGAGAAGCAGGAGGAGGAAAAAGAGGAGAAGGAGCAGACGAAGGCGGTGCCTGACGCCTGGCACTCGGACGACGAGGCCGCGTCCAAGCAGCGTTCTCCGAGGCGGGGGGGGGGGGCGCGGGAGGCGGGACGAGTGGCTGATGCAAGTCTTGATAACTTACCACGTCGACGCAGCCGCGTCTCTCTGGACACGGGCACGCGGCCTCCTGTGGCGTAGGGGCTCGCAGCCCCTCGCAGCCCGTGCGAATGCCACCGCTGTCGATAACGTCCCACATGTAGCCACCACGAGAGGGAGACCACCCCAAAGACTGTCGCAGGCGTGGTCGTTTTCATCATTCCTGCCCCCCGTTTGAGGAAAGTTTCCCAGGGCGTATCGGACGGGAAGAAGAGATGGCAGGACAATACGAAACAATGCGGGAAACAACAGGTGAGTGACCTTAACTTCGGCTTGCAAATCAAGAGCGCTCGCTTGCAGTCCGTATGTTACCGATCCCCATAAAACCGTGACCATGCAAGACACTTACTCTTGGCACACATCCAGGTCCCACCCATGCCGTCCGTTGGGCAGCGGCTGGTCTAGACTAAGCTCCCGAAGCGCCTTCGAAGGACACAAGAATCACGAAAGGTGAATAATCGTGTTGACACACGTCTTGTGCAAACCATCGCCGCGCATAGACGCACGTCTGGCAACACATAACTCGATAGAACGGCATAAATGGAAGGCACCTGAAGGCACAAAGTGCAATGTGCAAAACCGCATAGTTTCCGAGGCGCAGCAAACGAAATTACTGAGAGAAGCGATCTGAGGCGCGCCACTCAAGTTCCAACTGTTTGGGATGTTCCCCAGCCTTCGACGACGGAGGATGTAGATCCTCTCCTGGGCGACCTCATGACGAACGGTCGAACAATTTGCAAACACACTGCCACCAGCTCCACGACTCGTTGCGACTCACCAGAACAAGAGCGGAGGATCATGGGCGAAAGAGGAGCAGGACAAGGTGGACGTGAAAACCCCGCAGGGGTCTGTGATGGATTGGCAGCTGCTGAGAATACAGAGGCAAACACCATGGATTACTGCGAGCCTGGGCGTCCGTGTCGGACTCGGCAGCAAGGTGGGCTGCGGCAAGGCATTCCAAGACCTGCGGCCGCCCGCGCGGAAACGAGGATAACATATTGAGCAGTAGCCTGGAAACCTTACACTTGCAGCTGCCCATCGGCAAGGCATTCGTGGTACTGAAGGGACAACCAGCGTCATGGTCGTCATGGTTACTGACTTCCCTGGCCACCTCCGCGCACGCGCTCGAAGGAAAAGCACACGCCAAACGTGCTCCAGCCTGGCAGCCCCAGGAAACAAAACTTCTTGTAGAAAGCCACCCGTCGAAGCAAGGCCCCGACAAATACGCGCATTGCTCAACGTGCCCATGGCTACCACATGGCCTTAGGTAGCCCAAAGTGGCTTCCAAGATGTCGCAATATGTCTAGGTTGGTTCAAGATTACCCCGTGCACGCGCCAAACATGCCCGAAAACGCCATAACACGACACGAGGTGACCACGGAGTCTACAAAGGAGATGCCCGAAAGACCAAAAACAATGCAAGGCAAAGTGTGCCCCATGATGACTGCATTATCCATGTTTCGCTTCTGGTTGTCCTCCGAGACCTCTACAACCCTTCCGACAAAACATTTGTCGGATCGATTCAGCAGCCCCTCCCTACCCCATCCAAAGTCGGCTCTTGACAGGGCCGCTGCCGCGCCGTGGGTTTCGATGCAACAATGGGCGGGGTAGGAGGGGCGCGCCGTTGCAAGAATATGACCCCAGGGCTCAAGCAGCCCCATGAAGACTCCGATGCGACGCCGAAGCGGTCCCTGAAACCCGTGGCTGCATTGTTCAAGCTTTTCTTCAGGAGCGAAGAACGCCACTAAATTACTCCTTCGCGTGCGTGCGAATGCGCACGCGTGGAGGGAACCTTCGCGCGACGCGTCGGTCTTCCCGGCGCGATGCACTTCTGGAACACGGACCATGGAATGGTTTACGGTCGCCTTCGCCATCGGCATGGCCACCCGAAAGCGTCGTCGCCGCTAGAGAACGCTCTGGCTACCTCCCGTGATCCGTGTGATCTGGTCCGTAACCCATATGAAAAAACAAATAATCCCTGCGATCGGTAATGCTGTATAAAATTGCCGGAAAGTGTAGTTCCAAGAGATTATACGGGTCATCTGTTTTTCCCAACCATCCTGTGGTGTGGGGCCCACGTTTTGAACACGCATCGCCCCTCGGCGTTCCTCCTCTTCCCCCTCCTCCTCCCCCTCCTCTCTCCTCTCGTTTCTGCCGCCCGCGCGTTTTCATCGTCGTCCCCATCTCATCATCAGCGTCCCCATCGTCATCACAACCTCGATCGTCATCACCATCAGCGTCATCAGCATCATCATCGTCATCATCATCAACGCATCATCATCACCACCACCATCATCATCATCATAATCATCAGCATCATCATCATCATCAGCATCATCGTCATCAGCAGCAGCATCATCATCATCATCATCATCATCATCATCATCATCATCATCATCATCATCATCATCATCATCATCATCATCATCTTCATCATCAGCATCATCATCATCACCATCACCACCACCACCACTCCGTTGCACCTCTCACACACGTTGCGTGGCCCCAGGAGGGAGCTCCACATCAGGCCCCAGCGCCAGGGCCCGCATACCTTCGCCACACCGTTCCGGTGCATACCTCACACGTTCCGTGGCCCCAGGGGGAGCTCCACCCAAGACCCCGGCGACAGGAAACTCATGCCTACTCCACACCTGTTCGGTCACCTTGTCAGTGTCCCCCTCACCACCGTCGCAGACGCACCCCCGTTTGCGTCTCCAGAAGCTCAATCACCATCGCCCTCCGCGCGTTGACGACGCTGGGGAGACGCCCAGGCAATGTCCCATGATCCGTGTGATCTGGTCCGCGATCAAGATGAGAGACAAGCATCCTTCTGATCCGGCAGAGAATGTGAAAAAAACGGCAATTACTCCGACGGTAGGACCCCACATGAGAAAATGTTTAATTTGCCTGGGGATCTCCTCCTGCCCCCTCGCTTCTCCCCCCTACTCCTGCCTCCTCCTTTTCCTTCTGCCTCCTCCTCCTCCTGCCTCAACCCCTGCCTCCTCCTCTTGCCTCCTCCACCACCACCACCTCATCCTCCTCCTCCTCCTCCTCCTCCTCCTCCTCCTCCTCCTTTTCCTCCTCCTCGTTATGCCTCCTCCCCCCATTCCCCATGCTCCTCCTGCCTCCTGCGTCCTCCTCCTCCTGCTGCTTTCCTTCTCCCTCCTCCTCCTCCTTCTCCTCCGCCTCCCCTTCCATCTTCCTCTTCTCCCTCTCCCTCCTCCGCCTCCTCCTCCTCCTCCTCCTCGTCTCCATTTTCCCCCCCTCCTCCTCCGCCTCCCCCTCCATCTTCCTCTTCTCCCTCTCCCTCCTCGTCCTCCTCCTCCTCGTCTCCATCTTCCCCCCCCTCCTCCTCCGCCTCCCCCTCCTCCTGCCTCCTCCTTAGGCTTCCGGCCTCCTCCTGGGGACTCTTGGGGCCTCCTGGAGCCTTCTAGGCCTCACGGGACATCCTGGGGCCTCCTGGGGCACTCCTCTTCCTCCGTGTCCTCCTCGTCTTTCTCGCCCTCTGCTTCCTCCTTCTCCTCCTCATGCTTTCCTTTCTCGTCCTGCATCCTCCTGCCTCCTCCTCCTCCTTCCTCCTCGTGCGGAACACGACCCTGAGGAAACGCACGACGTGCGTCCTGGCGGATACGCGCCTGAGGCCGACCCAATGGAAGCGCGCGCCGGAGGACGACCCGGAGGAAACACGAAAGGTGCGGGCCCCATCGGAACGGGAGCTCCCGCCTGAGCCTTCCTCACAAATCACTGACAGTCGAGGTTCCCGCCTGATACTTCCCCCATATTCAGGCCTCAAGAGCCCAAAAAAGTGACGGACGACACTTACGTGATCTGAATGACCCGCTCGGATTGCCAACATGCAGCGCGGGCCCCATAGGGAGGGGGCTCCCGCCTGAGTCTTCGGGACGGGGGCTCCCGCCTGAGACTTCCTCACAGTTCAATCACAGACGAGGCTCCCGCCTGATATTTCCCCAAAATTCTGGCCTCAATGACGACAGCTACAAGTTCGAGGATGACCCGCTCGGATTACCAACATGAAGCGCGGGCCCAAAAAGGAGGGGGCTCCCGCCCGAGACTTCCTCACAGTCCCCCCTGAGACTCCCCCCATACTCAAGCATCAGGAACCCAAAAGGGACGACAGTTAAAGGTTCGAGGATGCCCCGCTCGGAGTATCAACATGAAGCGCGGGCCCCATAGGGACGTGGCTCCCGCATGAGACTTCCGCACAGTTCACTCACAGACGAAGCTCCCGCCTGATACTTCCCCAATATTCAGGCCTCAGGAGCCCAAGAGTGACGACAGTTACAAGTTCGAGGATGACCCGCTCGGATGAATAACATGATCTGCGGGCCCTATAGGGAGGGGGCTCCCGCCTGAAACTTCCTCACAAGTCACTCACAGACGAGGTGCCCGCCTGATACCTCTCCCATATTCAAGCCTCAGGAACCCAAAAGTGACAACAGTTAAAAGATCTGGACGACCCGCTCGGTTTAATAACATAATCTGCGGGCCCCGTAGGGAGGGGGCTCCGCCTGAGACTTCCTGGAAATTCACTCACAGTCGAGGCTCCCGCCTGATACTTACCCCATATTCAGGCCTCAGGAGCCAAAAAAAGCGACGACAGTTACATGATCTGGATGACCCGTTTGGATTAATAACACGATCTGCGGGCCCCACATGGACGGGGCTCCCGCCTGAGACTTCCTCTCAATTCATTCACAGAGGAGGCTCCCGCCTGATACTTCCCGCATATTCAAGACTCAGGAGCCCCAAAAAAGTGACGACAGTTACAGGTTCGAGGATGACCCGCTCGGATGAATAACATGATCTGCGGGCCTCATAGGGAGGGGGCTCCCAGACGAAGCTCCCGCCTGATATTTCCCCCACATTCAAGACTCAGGAGCCCAAAAGCGACGACAGGTTTAGGATCTGGATGACCCGCTCGGATGAATAGCATGATCTGCGGGCCACATACGGGGGGGCTCCCGCCTGAGACTTCCTCACAGTTCACTCACACACGAGGATCCCGCCTGATACTTCCTCAAGCGTGGGTGCGGGAGTGAGGGGGTAGTGAGTGAGTGAGTGAGTGAGTGAATGATGATAATGCTGATGACGATTATTATGATGATGATGATGATGCTGATGATGATGAGGAGGAGGAGGAGGAGTGGGATGATGAGCGAGTGAGAGTGCGAAAGAGGCGGTGCTGGGTGATGAGGAGGAGAAGGGGGGGGGGAGGGGTGAGATTTCCTGCGCGCGGTGCCCAAAGAAAATTACTCCGACGGTAAAACCCCACATGCTAATATGTTTAGCTTGCCTGGGGATCTCCTCCTTCACCCTCGCTTCTCCCACATGCTCCTGCGTCCTCCTTTTCTTCCTGCCTCCCCCTCCTCCTGCCTCAACCCCTGCCTCCTCCACCACCACCACCACCACCACCTCCTCCTCCTCCTCCTCCTCCTCCTCCTCCTTTTCCTCCTCCTCGTTATGCCTCCTCCCCCGATTCCCCATGCTCCTCCTGCCTCCTGCGTCCTCCTCCTCCTGCTGATTTCCTTTTCCTTTCTCCTTTTCCTCCTCCTCCTCCTCCTCCTCCTCCTCCTCCTCCTCCTCCTCCTCCTGCTCCTCCTCCTCCTCCTCTGCCTCCCCTCTCCATCTTCCTCTTCTCCCTCTCCCTCCTCCGCCTCCTCCTCCTCGTCTCCATCTTCCCCCCCTCCTCCTCCGCCTCGCCCTCCTCCTGCCTCCTCCTTAGGCTTCCTGCCTCCTCCTGGGGACTCTTGGGGCCTCCTCTTGAGGCCGCCTGGAGCCTTCTTAGCCTCCCAGGACATCCTGGGCCTCCTAGAGCACTCCTCTTCCTCCATGTCCTCCTCGTCCTTCTCGCCCTCTGCTTCCTCCTTTTCCTCCTCCTCCCTCTGCTTCTTTTTCTCGTCCTGCATCCTCCTGCCTCCTCCTTTCTCCTCCTCGTGTGGAACACGACCCTGAGG